GAATCATGTATGATTTTCGTTCCACTTCTCACGTGTACACCACTTTGTATTGGCCACATGTTTCATGTGGAATTCCAATAAAATTGATTCATGTTTGTGGCTGTAATGTGATAAAATGTGGAAAAGTTCAAGGGGGGGTGAATACTTGCAAGCCACTGTATATAGATATATAAATATACACACACGACACAGTGACCAGACTGTCGAACGACAGCGATATCATTTAAGCAACAACAGGCAAGCACATAGAGAGTGCTAAGGTCTCTTCATTTATAAACAGATTATTTGTCAAAATCACTGTTGGTCACTAGTGGACATCCCAGGCTTTAGTATATTTACCACTCTGTCAATCAATGTGTCCTGTAATCAATTCAATATATCCTCCCCTCTCATTGGTCCTGAGTCAGTCTTTTCCTTCAAATTTGAGAGAACTTAAAGTTTGGACTCATCCACTTTTATTGCCAGCAGTTAATTTTCCCATCAACTTCTGAAGATGTTTAATGTAGCTGAGTTTCACATTTTAACACTGAAGTTTATGGGGAGCCAGCCTCCTACTTTCTTCCCTCACTTGTGTTTCTCTACTTATTTACTCCATGCAGACAGAGAAGTGGGCTGAAGTTTCTCCTGGGCCTGCATTGACTACCATTCACAGCTATTGTGAATGTCCTTATTATCCCAAGTTTTTAGAGGCTGAAAGAATGGCAGATCTCCTGCATATCTATATGCCTGCCTACCAGACCCCCACTCCCTCACAATTCATACTAGGGAGTAAGATAACATCCGGCATTCTTTTAAGTGCTGGAATACCATTAAGTACTTGGCCTGCATTAACCCCACCCCTCCTGAGCCACTCTCCAGTCCCCTGTGCAACTGCAGCCAGTTCAATAAACATTTGAAAACTGCCATCAGTGTATCATCTCTGTCCATGGAGACTGGCCTCTGTGTAAATTATGAAAAGCCTCTGACGAAACAGTCAGTAATAGGAAACTGTAGAGATTTACTAACAGCTAACAGACTGTAAAGAGCATTCATGTTTGCACACTATGTCAGTTAAAGTTCACTCATACGTTTCCTCTGCTTGCTAACATCAGTGACTCAGTTTATACATAGTTTATGGCTGTTCTATTAGTTAACAGCAATCACCAACAATAGCTTTCCATTAGTTTAGCTACATTGTAATGAAAAAAGGAAAAACATTCCATAAAAAGACAAACATTAGTATGTTTTTTGTTTGTTTGTTTCTGCATTTATTTTTTTAATTTTTTTTAACAGAAGTTTTTGTCAGTGGTAAATGGTTATATTTCAGTGTGTTTAAAAACATTTAAAACACATAAGAAATTCCTTATGTTAAAGAAAAAGTCTTACTGAAGGTTTTACTAAAGGTTTTACAGATTTATTTATTTTTTTTATTTTTTTTATTATGGGTGGATGGAGGTTTTTTTTTTATTTTCTGTAGCTACTATACATGCAGCTATTAAAATGTGCCATTTGGTTATAGAGTTGTTGGAACTCATGCAGGATATTAAACATTTACATAAATATTCAATACCGTGTGGTAGCTATTTCCTAAAATAATTTAGCAAATCAATGTATTATTTATTAATTGATTTGCTCAAATGCAAAAAAAAAAAAAGATTATGGATTATTAAACAGATGGTGTTTAATAATTGGTTGTTGGTTTTTGTTTACCTTGAAAAATATGTGCCTTAAATAGTTAAAAAAAAAAAAAGTTGTAGTGTAATGGAAGCAAACTATTTAACTCATTCAGTCATAGCACCAACCAGTTATGGTTTCCATACCTGCTACTTAAAGGAATAGTCTAGCTTCATTTGTTTTTGTATCAATTCAGTAGAAAAGATTGTCAGAGCACATTCTTAAAAATCCCACACTCTATTATTAGACTTAAAGGCTTAATAAGGGTGTTAGTAATACTATTATTTTTGTTCTTTCCACACCCACAGAAAACCAGTATGGAATCATCAGACCTGTCACAGCCCAGCAGACCAGCCTGAAGATTATTCAGCTTTCAGCTTTCAACAAGGCTTTGCTGTTGTTTTGCTTTCTCTCTCTCTCTCTCTCTCTCTCGCCTGGGGGAACTCTTTATGGGTTCCTGCCTTTGGCCTACACACCTGTGGGAGAGTGAACACCTGCGTCTCATTATCCTGCCACTACTTAAGTGGAAGAAGCGAGGCTATTCATCGCTGGATTGTTGTGTGAATCGCATCAGTGTAGCCCCGGCTCTGAGATTGTTCATAGCTCTTGTGGGGTTTTTCCTTCGTTCTAATCTGCATTCTCTTTGCATGTAGACTCCCTGGTCCTGTTTCTGTTTCCTTGTGGGGATTTTTTTGTGACGAGTGGAGAGTGACTGGCGGAGCGCAGTGTGTGGCAGAAGAGGAGTGAGAGTGATTTTCCCCGTTTCCTTCCCTTGGATTCCTTGGAACTAAAAATTTTAGCTCCAAGTACCCATATCATATTTCATTTATTTAAGGTGTTCAAAAAAATTAAATATCTTGTTATTTTGCTGTAAATTAAAAATGGTAAATAAATGGTAAATGGCCTGTATTTGTATAGCGCTTTACTAGTCCCTAAGGACCCCAAAGTGCTTTACACATCCAGTCATCCACCCATTCACACACTTAATATAAATCATCAGAAGTGTAAAAAAATGCCATGAGTGGTTTTACATCTTAGATCACAAAATGCAGCTGCAGCTAGATTATAATATAACAGTGTTTATAACCACTGGGACCTTGTAGAGCTGAGTTTCTACATCTGATGACGTAGAAACTTTTGTTGCTGGACTGTGAAGAAATGTGTAGCTTATTTGAGAGTTTAGAAATGTGTTAGGTAGGATGTAGAATTATTGTAGAGACACTGACACTGCCCTGGATGCAACAAAGACCTGAGTGTGTCATGAATTTAGGAGTAGATTTTTAGGAGACCCTCTCCCACCTGAACTGCGAAAGTAAGACAAAGAGAAGTTAATGCTGAGTGGAAATTCCCTAGGGGAGACCTGGGTGGGGGTCTCAGTGTTTGTAATATGTTAACTCTGTTTTCTCTGTTGTGTAGAGGAATTTGGTGTAGCTTGGGTGAGGAGATTACTTTTATGACCAGCAGGAAGTCACGTACACAGAGACACACACACAGTGCTTTGACTGTTATGACGCACCCACACCTACATGCACAGTCACTCACGTGCACTCACACATACACACAGGTACGCGCATACAGTCACTCACGTGCACTTACATAGACACATTGACTGTAACAAACAAAGGAGTGGAAAAATTGCAGAGGGACACCGGCCTTGCACATCTCCCCTTCTAGAAGATGCATGCTTAACAAGATGAATAAAAGTTTTTGTAAAAATGACTACTGAGTTCCGGTGCCGTCTCTGGATGACGGAGGAATAAAAGAACCGGGGTGAAACTGATTTCGTAACAACTGTAGATTGCAACAGAGTTGCTATCAGGTCACAGTAGGGAAAGCAGTGTCATGCATGCAAAAAGTGGAATCATTTAAAAAAAAAAAAACGGTCCAGAGCCATTCAGCCTACTCATAACGTAGCAAGACACAGAAAGTCAGTTCATCATGTGGAACCGGACCAAGCTGATGATAGCGGAGATGACACATTCTACATTGATGGAATAAACCTGCAATATGCAATCCATGCGACTGATGTGCATGTGGAACACAAAGAGGAAGTTTTTGTCACCGTGCAGATTAATGGGATTCCTGTTGAGATGAAAGTGAACACAGGTGCTAAATGTAATGTGCTTTACGAGAAAACAGTTAACATTGTAAGAGCAGATAAACAAATAAAAGCGCACCCCAAGTCTGTTAACTTAGTAGCATTTGGAGGCAGCAAGATTCAAACCTCAGGTGTAATTAAGCTGCAGTGTTTTCTGCATGGACAGTCACATGTGCTATCATTCTTTGTTATTAATGAAGATGTTCAGCCAATACTGGGACAATGTGCATGCAGAGAAATGGGACTTGTATCATTCAGCAATGACGTCCACCAATTGACCACGTCTGCAGATGACCTGTCACAACAGCTTTTCACAGAATACAGCGACTTATTTTCTGATGAGCTTGGAAAGTTGCCAGTCACCTATCGCATGACACTGAACCCAGATGTGAAACTAGTTGTTCGCCCAGCACATCGCATCCCTTTGGCCATGAAAGACAGAGTCAAGGCAGAGCTGGACAGGATGGAGAAATTAGGCGTCATTACTCCCATCTCCGAGCCGACAGACTGGGTGTCTTTTATGGTAGCCACAAACAAGAAGGGCAAAGATGAAGTCAGGATATGCATAAATCCTCGAGTTTTAAACACAGCTCTGAAAAGACCACACCATCCCATGCGCACAGTAGAAGAAGTGGCTGCATTAATGTCAAATGCTACTGTGTTCTCTGTTTTGGATGCTAAGAACTCTTTTTGGCAGGTGTCATTGGATCAGAAATCATCCATGCTAACTGCCTTCAGCACTTGTTTTGGTCATTACAGGTTCCTCAGAATGCCTTTTGGTCTCAACGCCGCCAGCGAGGTGTTTCAGCAAGCCATGGAGCAGATATTCACTGGGCATCCATGTGCCATCATTGTTGATGATATACTCATTGGCGGAAGAACCATGAAAGAACATGACGACAACCTGAGAAAAGTCCTTGATCGTGCCAGAGAAGTAAACCTACGACTAAACCTGTTAAGGTGAATTGTTAAATATTGTCATTTTTATGTTTACCATTTGTACATTGTTTTAAGGAATTCTTAAAGCAGACCCTGCTTTAAGTCCCTCGCTTGTGCAATCAAAGCCGCAAGATTACAGAGGATGTTGTTGAGGCTCCAAAAATACAACATCACGCTCACATATAAATGTGGAAAACAAATGTATCTGGCTGACACGCTGTGTCATGCTCCCAGCAGCTCCACTTTCCAGCAGTCTGAAGAAGAGGACAACTTTGATGTCATGATGGTGAGCTGCATCTCTTCTTCACACCTGGAGAAACTTAAAGGACACAGCTGAGGATGAGACACTGCAAGCGCTCAGCTTGTTAATAAAAACATGGTAGGCCACAACGACTCCACAACCTTCCCACGGCAGTTCGTCCATATTTTCCTTTCAGGGAAGAGCTGACTGTGGATGATGGCATCATTCTTAAAGGTTCCAAAGCTGTGATCCCAAGATCACTGCAAGGAGTGATCACCATCACCATCATGCACAGAGGACATCCCGGCATAGAAGCTACCAACCGGAGAGCACGGGGGATCGTCTTCTGGCCGTTCATGTCAAGAGATATTGAACAAACAGTCACTTCCTGCTCGGTGTCTAACAGCACTAAACCTCATCAACAAAAAGAGCCCCTTCATCTGCATGAAGTTCCAACTGTGGCTACAGATATCTTTGAGTGGCACTGTCAGCACCAGTTTTGGTCAAGTTACTTGAAAAAAGTAATCAGTAACTAATTACCTATTACTTCCCCCAAAAAGTAATCCCGTTACTTTACTGATTACTTATTTTTAAAAGTAATTAATTACTTAGTTACTTAGTTACTTTTTAAAAACACGATTTACAACCTGAATAGGTGATAAAGGGTTTTTATCGGTTTTCAGCGTTATTTTATTATCGTTATGATCGTTAACTCTGTTTTCCTGGGTCTTTTCACATGTGTTATGAATAAATCTTCTTTTTTTCGGTACCGGTACTAGTTTTATTTTGTTGTATTTATCCGCGACACATTAATGGCCAGTCCGTGAAAAATATTGTCGGGCATAAACCGGTCCGTGACGCAAAAAAGGTTGGGGACCGCTGTAGATAACCTGCTGTCAGTTAGGTATTTTGTCCTAATCCGCTTGCTATACCTCCATGTAGGTCTGTATATGTTTTGAGTGGTGTATGTGCATTCGGTTATTGAATCCAAGCATGTAAGTTCTGTGCTGCTCTGCTGGTTAATAAAACCACGTTAACTGAATCTACTGCTTCATCATTATCATACTGGTGAACATAGAACAAATAGCATTACTAGTATTGGTTTGGATCGATCTGCCCAGTTCTACTGGCAGCCACCTGGCTTCTCCTTGTCTCCCAACAAAGAGGCAGCTAGTTGTTTGCACTTCTGAGCATTTATGTGAGAATCATGAGCTGCAGTTTTTTCGAAAAGTGTGAGCTATTTTTAATTAAGATATATTTGTGTTGCGCTAAGACATTTTTATACATAGTTGTTGTAAATGTTCCTTGTAAATTATATTGAGCACTGCAGCAGTTCAGTAGGAGTGAGAAGCCCTCTTTGTTGAAACCCTTTATCTCATGTTTTTTTGGTAGAAGTTTAGGTTAGAAAATTGTCTTTTGTTTGCTTTTACTTTCTGATAGGGAAGAATAGTCTTTGGGTCTGCCTTAAATGAGTCTTTTTTTAGTATATTTTGCTGCATGTGCATGTGCTCTGGGAGGGAGGGTGTAAGCTGCTGATGTGGAAAGAACTTGATTAGGAACCACCATGTTTTTATATAAAACTGAGCTCAGGAAGCACATGTATTGTTTACTGACAGATGGCTGACTTTTGTTGAATTCCGGTGTTGCTGCCTAAAGACACCTTCAAAAAAACATGAGTGCCTAGTCTTCGCTGTCTTTGGCCTTCGCCACTTAGCTTGTACAGTTAATCACAAATGCTCAAGTAATACCAAAACATATGTATGTCACCCCGGGCCCTAACTAAAACAGAAGGTGGTGTAGTCCTTTTCAAAGACTCCCCTTAATCTGTAACCATCCAAAATACCTCATCATTTTTGACTACCCAACTTTATTTGTTTCATTTTTTATGTTATTTTCTGTGTTTATAATCATTTCTCGACTTAAGAAATTGTGAGTTAAAACTGGGTTATTGTCATCCTGATCTACTCTGATCAGTCAAGCCCATATATATTTAAATACTGACACAAGGTGTTTTTTTTTTTACCTGTTTATTGAAAGATATTATAATTATAGTTAAATAATGGCCTTTAATTTGAGGGTATCCACATTCGAATTGGATGAAGGGTTTAGTGGTTTCAGCTCCTTAACATGTGCCACACCTTTTTTTTATGAGGGACCTAAAGTAATTGGACATTTATAAAAGGGTATTTCATGGGCAGGTGTGTGCAGTTCCTTCCTTATGTCATTATCAATTAAGCAAATAAATTGGCTGGAGTTGACCTGAGGTGTGGTGGTTGCATTTGGAAGTTTGCTGTGAACAGACAACTTGGAGTTCTCCATGAAGGTGAAACAAGATCTCCTTAAGCTGTGAAAACAGAAAAAAAAACACCCGTGAAATTTCTGCAAGATCAGGAGCGGTAAAATCTACTGCGAGCACTTAAGTACTGGCAGCTCAATTGCCAACAGGTGTGGACTTCCTGTAGGAATGCACCGACTCTGCCCAGAAGTGGACCCACCGGCTCTATGGAAAAAACTCTGCACTCACCCTAACAATGACAGTTTCTTGGATCTAAATAATTATTAATAATTTTACACTATTAGAAAATCTGGTACAGATTTTCTAAAAGTTAGGAAACTCTGCTTAGTTTGAAAACTCTGCTTACATCAAGGTCACGTCTTTTTTGTTGAAAATAACGTTTGACTCTGTTTTGAATAAATATTACCCAATATTTAAACCCAAACATTTTTCACATTTTCCCTAAACATATCATATGTGATTGAAAGGGAAAATGAAAGGGTAATAGTCAGAAAGAGAAGAATGTTGGAACTCACAGGAAAGATAAGAAGCTGATCACACCTTGACAGGCTGACTTCTCTATAAAGTCCTCATCCTCGTGAGTTTTGTTTATTTTATCAATATTCATTTATTTATTAATTTGTTACACAGCATATTGTCATGTAGTGTAGGTCGGTTAGTGTAATAATCAGGATCATGAACAGGATCAGATGTTGTAATAAGTGAATGAATTCAGACTGTAGATTTTCCTTCTTCTACCTGTACTGACTGACCTTTGACCTCAAGTGTTGATGGCTCTTCACCTCTGTCTCCTCTCACATAGAGAAGATGATCT